CTGATCTCTGTCACTGACCAAGAGCTCTTAAAGTAAGTGGCTGTATTGCCAAAGGATCCTCAGCCTGAATTCAGCTGCCAAGACAAGCACTTTTTAGCTGTAGACATTACCCTGTAAAAAGTTGTTGCCATTCCATTTGTAAAATGACACCAGCAATTCTTTGTGTAAAGAAATAAGCAGTTATTAAATATAATCATCACATGTGTGTTTATTCTTTCATACACCAAGTTCTCCAAGTTTTTCTGGCCACACATCCAACACTTAGTACACTTTCACCTACTCTTGACTGTAAAGACAGGCAGCTTACCTGACATCCCAGTGGCTTCCATGTTTGTCTGCTGGTAGCATCACCCTGGGTATGGTAAGAAGACTCAATCCAGCAGGACCAAAGTATACCTGCACTTACCTGTGCTGTTCAGAACAAAGCTGAAGTAAGGCAAAGCTATTGATACCTGCACAGCTACTGCACCAGAGCTCTGGCCTGTCACGTGCAGTTTATGTTCCCTACATTAAGGCATAACAATGGCTGAAGTAGCACTGACACAGACATGTTGGTAGCAATCATGCCAGTTAATGACACTTATCACACAGGGACATTGCAAGTGCAGTGCTTGGCTCCAGCATCAACAGCAGGGCTGCAGTATTTAACTCAGATTTAAGGCAGTTAGGCTGCCTTTTCTCCTTCTTTGTTGCTGCAATAATTATGCTTAAAATTACTTCCTGTTTCACGACTAAACTTGCCAACTGCTTGCTTTGCAGCCCATGGGCATGACCTGGTTATGAAAAGGATTAGTGCAGCTCTCCTCCATGTTACTGTTGACCTTCAGCCCATTACAAAATTGCCATTTCTACTAAAGCAGTAAAGCTGCCACAAACGTTACAAATGCTGCTAGGAGAAAACATCTTTTCTACTGTGTTACATAGAAATGGTGGGTTCATTATCTATCAGTTACTCAACATAGCCTTACAAAGCCACACTGAAGAAATAAGACTTAGAGATGTTTTCAATATGTGTTGAAATGTTCATGTAACCTTTTCTAAAGTGAATTCTGGGTATTTTCTGGCAGGGCACAGAAAAACAGCTGAGTATTCTAAAATTAATTCCTTGTCTTAATGCCATTAACTTCCATTATCAGATCAAAACAGCTCTTTAGTTTGCAGCCTCAGTTGCTCCCTGAACAAAGCATTCAGTGAGCCTTTGCTGGGGCAGAACCTCAAACCCATGAGAGCACTGTCTGCTAACCTACACAGCACATCCAGAATTCCAACCAGAGGACAGAAAAAATTCTCCATCTGATGGGTGAGCTACACACAATCACTTACAGTTGACTGGTGTCTGAAATTCTCTCTGAAGCTAAATACTGAGACATCCTGAGTGTTTTAGTGCAGTAGTTGCATCCTTCACTTAATTCATAGAGCATGTAAGATGTGCCAAGTACTGTAAGCCTTTTCCAGGATGGAAGGACATGACAAGATCTAGCCAGGCATCCCAAATCCAACTGGAAGCATTATGCACTTAATAAAATCGGCAAGGAAGAAACATAGGCTTCCAGGACAGCATGCTCAAATTAAGTCTTCATTTACTTGTGGAAAATGAGATATTCATCAGCTCACTGATTCTGAGCCTTATCCTCTTCTCCTCTTGTTAAAGCATTACAACTGAGAAGTTAACTGACAACCAGTCATGCAGTTAAAACCTTTTCATCTCTAGCCACCTCTTTAGATATGGTCCAAATCTCAGTGACTAAGAAAATGAGCAGATGTTTTCATTGTATGATGGGGTGTGTAATAGTGTCTCACCACCAGGCCATGACACCAAGCTCTGGGTGCACTGCTGTCTTACCTTTACAGGCAGCCAGTCACTGCTCAGACACCACCTTCAGGTAAAAACCAGCAGGTATTGTTCTTCATGGAGGACAGGCACACAGGTGCAGTACTTTGTCCATTAACCTCAATTAAAAACATACAGTCAGTTGCTTGTAAACAACATGGACACACTGCCCTGGCAAAGGTGGCCCATCCAGACACACAGCTGGTCTAACAGAGTCTGGAGCACAATTCATTTTTTTTTCCTTACACTACTTGAGCTATTTCAGCTTTGAGGCTACAAACAAGCAGCTTGGAGAGGGATTGATTTGGTAGCATTTCTTTTTTACCATCATCTGCAACTATTTTCCCAAATCACTGAAGTGTCGAGCAGCACCCCAACTTCTGCAAACTGACACAGGAGCACATTGCAACCACTTAGTTTTCAGTCTCCTCTTCAGTGTAGCCTAATCCTCTATGGTCAGAGTAGCCCATGCACTAAACTATCAGCAATGGACATACAATGGAAAGGAAGAAATGAAAATTAACATTTTCTGCTCATTAACAACAAAAACCAAAGCTTGAGCACAAGAACAGCCTTCCCAAGGTTAAGGGTCTGCAGTATTTAGTTTTTGAATAACAACATTAGGACAAAAATCACAAAAGGTTCCTTACTGTGGCCTGTATCAGATGCTGTCCCACACAGCCTGTGGCAGACCTCACTGATGGTCATTTGAGCACCACCCTTAGAACACCCCCTCCCCAAATCCAGTCCCTCTTCAGATGTGCAAATATGGCACAGGAAGAAACAAAACACAAACAATAGGCAAGTTCCACTGGCACTCCAGCAGTTGCCTGCTGAGCACACTGCCAAGGCCAGGAAGTTGACCAGCCCCTCAAAAACCTTTGTGCCAAAGGTTCCATGCAGCAAAGCAACAGCTCCTGCCTACAGCAGCACAGAGGAAACCACTTAGCAAAGTCCAAAACCTCAAGGACAACAAACCCACAAAACATTTCCACATTAGCTTTGATAAATGTGTTTAATAATCTGTTACTTTACAGGACAGTATTAAATGCTGGGCTTCAAGGGAGAAACATTACCATACTTAAAAGCCAATCTCCAAAATCCACACGTAAGATCTTGAGAGCTGAACAGTCAGGTTTGTTCAGCCTACCAGGTATTGAGCAGGAAGCTCAAGGGTTGTGGGTTTGATAAAAACACACATTGTACATACCAAAGGGCATGACTGTCTGTCCACACTGCACTGGAGCTTATCACCAACAGCCTATTCCCAACTGCACAACACCCAGCCAAAGCCAAACACTGCACTCTGTTACCAGGTCACCAATTCTGGGAAGCACATTTCATCACCTCACATTTCCGATCCAACCTCCAATGAGATCACTATCATTGCTCTGCAGTAACTCTGGTCATCTCCCCCCCCAAAGAACAAGGTGGTACCAACACACACTGAGTGGGAATCCCCACTCAAGGACCAATCCAGACAAGTGCAGAAGTTCTGGATGGCACATCAATGCACAACTTGCTGCTTGCCATGAGGCACAACTGCACAGAATTACCACTCTTCCCACTACAGACATGAACAGTGAGTGCACATACATCACAGATGAAAAGTAAACTTGTTCCCTATTCCCCAAAATAATTCAGGAAATCTAAACCAAATAAGAAAAAATAGAAATCTATTTATTCCACTTGCTCCTTGGTTTCAGAGAAGTTAAAACAGGTGTTAACACAGACACAGCATTTTTCCTTCCATATATATAAGACAGTAAGTCTGCTGTGGCCATACAATTCAGAACTGCATTTTCAGCCCATTCCAACATATTACTCCAAGTCAGTCCAAACCCAAACCTCCAAAACCAGGAAGAGGAATCCATATTTTTTGGAGAAAACAGTTAAGAAGAAAGCTCCCACCTTGCAAGCTTCCAAGGGGAGAGCAAGACTCTTTGCTCCTGGCCGTGGTCCGGAGGGATGGTGCTCTGACACTGGAGTGGTCAGGAGGCCGAGGCAGTGCCGCCAGCGCAGGACGGTGCCAGGCACAGTGTGTGCAATGGCTTGCACCAAAACCAACTGTACAGGTCATCCAGCTTGGGACCCCAGAGTAACTCACCTTAGGAAAAACAAGACTAAGAAAAGATTTGGAGAGGAGGTGTAGGAGCAGGGCAAGAAGCCATTCCTAAGGGTATCAGCGGGTGGGGAAGCCTCCTCTGTGGGTACCTCCACGGCCCCCTCTGAAGCCACCGCGCTCGCCCCGGAAGTTAGTTCTGTTCCTCTCTCTGCCCCTCTCTCCTCGGCCTGCGGCAGTTCCCCCTCGTCCTCCTCCCCGCGGAGCTCCACCTCCCCGGTCAGACTTGGACTTGGGCGGCGGCGACTTGGGCCGCAAACGCTCGATCTCCTCGGTGCAGCCCGTCAGGTGGGAGTTGGGAGCGGTGAAGTACGAAGAGTACGTCTCCGCGTTGAAGTTGCTGTTTGTGAGGGTCGGTCCCACCGTCAGCCAACCTGGGCAACAAAACCAGTCAACAAAAGCGAGAACACACCTTGTGCTTCAAGGCCATTATTGTCCTTCTCCCAGTAAATGAACACACAGGTAACAGGGAGAGACACGTGGTATTTAGATTTGAATGGGGTAGTTTTGTCTCCAGAACCACACAGCCAGGAGCACATCTCTCAAAACACACATGATATGAAAATAGAGCTTGAAGAGCTAAATCAGCTTGTCAATGCACAAACATTCAACAGGCACTTCAGCCTCACCAAGTGAATCAAGGCAGGCACATTGCTGCCTATTCACATTATGAGCTAAAGCAGCATTTGACCTAAAGTGAGGCTCTCAGAATGGGGCTCAGACCACTTAATGTCAGCAGGCATCATAGACGTATTTCTGTCATCTCAACAGTATGCTTACAAGGAAAATAAGAAGGAAAAAAAACCCCCAAGATCAGTTCTTTGACACTGTTCTCTTTAACCTAACATTTACCTTGCTTCCTGCACATTTGAAAAAAACAGAGGTAATTCTTAATACCTCACAGAGCTCTATGAGGATCTGTGGTGAGTACAAGATTTAAAGGTTGCAGTGCAATTCCAAGGCAACTACCAAATTAAAAAAATACAGAATACTGGTTAAAAACCAACTTTCTTCTGAAAAATCAGAGAGAAATTACAATTATCAGATTTTCCAAACAACAGTTTTGTGACTGACAGATCTTCACATACACCAAAAATGTGTCTCCTTGGGCTCTGCTGTCAGGATACTGATACAAATTTTACAAGCAGGGAATTCTGCTACTCTATTTTGCACATGAAGACATTTTAATTTTTAGAGCTAGTGTGGAGTTTATTTCACTATCAAGTCAAAAAAAGAAGAGGATATATTTAGAGTATGAAAAGAGAAATTATACCTTTCAGTATTCCAGTAGGAAACTGAATGATTGCAGCATTTATCTTCAACTGGAGATAACATTACAGATAACAAAAGCACAAAGGTCTTGCTGCTTCAGCAAGTATTTACTTCTAAAAATGAATATTCATAAAACAAAAAGCAGTGCTGAACTGGAGTTGTGAGTTGGTTTTGCTCCCAAAGGTGATAAAAAATTATAACAACTGCAGTATCATTCAGTGGGGCTCTCTATGATGCTCCTGCAACACAGCCTGAGGGTTCACCCCAGGACAGACATTCTTGCTAAGAAAATACATGGTGAGATCTTTAGTTCTAGCGAAGTCTTTTGCTCTTTGGTCAGGAGAGACAGAACATGAACTAGGGCAGAAGTCACTACTGTCACAGTGCTGGGAGAACTGACAAGTGATGCAGTTACATGCAGAAATAAAGGCACAGCTACCCAGCCGGTGCGACTCCTGGCAGAGGAATGATGCGTTAGGATTAACCATTATTGCCTCAGCTTCCACCAGAACCCACCAAGTGCCCGAGATGATGGAAAAGGGTCATTGAAGCAAATTAAAACTGAGCTATTTGACAGAAATCAGCGTAACCGTTACCTGGTCGAATGGTGCTGTCTCTCCCAAAAAGATGAAGCCGTCGTCGTCCAAGGCAGAAATGCTCAATTATGTGAAAAATCTCTACAGGTTTTTCTATGTTGCCAATTTCAGGCTCTTCTGTGATGATGAGGTCAATGTCAACGTTGGCATGGATGAAGTCCCCGTCCGTGCTGCGCCGCACGGTGCCCTTGATGCCCATGAGGCAGTGCTCCTACACAACACAGCACCACAGCAGGGTCTGAGCACAGCGCAGAGGAATCTAAGCACAGCACATCCCACAAGCACGGAGCAAAGTCTGAAGCAGGAACTAGAACAACAAAACAAGCTGGAGCTACCGGAAGAGCCTTTTGCAAACAAGGCAGAGCAGTAGTTTAAGCTGCCTGGCCTGGCTTGATGAACCACACTGTGAAGTGGTAAAACTTGAACAGAGGCTGAAGGAAGAGATTTGGATTTCCTGAATAACAGCAAAGTTAGAGCTTTAAGTTGAAACAAGGCAAGTGAGTACAAGGTGATGGCAAGAGTAAGGGAATAGGTATTAATTATAAGTAATACTGGTATCAGTATTCTTATCCCAACTTTATTCATACAAATAATTTTGAAGGTCTCAGTCACAAAACACACAAAATGTGTTTTTTTTCATATTGTACCTCTGTTATAAAAGTAGCCTTCCCCCTCAGATTCCTTTCTTCTAGATGTTACTGCATCAAAAAAAAAATAAACCACTATCGAACTGTCCATGCATTCTCAGTCAACTAATCAGCATCAAAGTGTTCTTGAGCTGTAACTTGCACTGCTTTCCTCTCCTCTGAAACACTGCAGATCAGTCTAAGAGACTGGTATGTGGCATCCACGAGAGAGGAATCCCCACTCTAGGTGCAGGATGAAAAGAGGCTCCCACATACCCTTTTCAGAGCTCTTTTCCTGGGAATATCACGCTGAGAGCGACGTTCCCTGGGATCAGACCCTGACTCTCACACCGACTGACAGCGCCACCAGGCGGCTCCAGAGAGAGTTGCAGACAGGGCACTCCCAGGTCTGTCAGGGGTTGTCAGGTACCAAGCACACGGGAAAGGCACAACAGCTGACCTAGTGCTCTATACAGCTGGCCAGCTGCACTCTAGCAAAGATTTTTGGACCTTCAGTTTAATTAAAAAGGCAGAATACTGCTAAGCAAATTACCTATCAAACAAAGCCTCATAAATCCAGTTCTTAGAAGAACTATCCAAAACATCCTCACACCACATGGCCTGCCACTCACTAACACCTTAGACCTACAACATGTGGCACAGTGGAAAGCATCCACCTCGAGAGATGCCTCAGCTAAACAGCACAGAACAGCATTTGCTGCTGTAACCTCTGGTAAATACATCTTGCCCAACAGGCTGTTTACTTAGCTCAAACAAGCTTACTCCATTTCCAGTGTTCATTACAAACACTGACCTCAGCCCAATCCTTCTCAATAAACAGAGAAATTCCCCAATACCAGAAACTATTCTTCATTAAACAAAGACCACGTCCCCTGTTGTTAGCTTCAACCTCTCATGAGTGAGCTACACATATCTGCAATACTACAGGCCATAAACACACAATCTTTATGCTCACAAATATTTATAATGGATACAACACACTTCCAAACAAACTTCAGTAAATGCAAGTCAGAGAAAGATTCCAGATATCTTACAGGCAAGTTTATACTCCTAAAAATGGCAAATGTGAAACAGCTGAGGATGTTTAATGCTAAGGAATGATTAAGGAATGAGTCCTGAGGTTAACTGACACTTTGAATTATTTAATTGCCAGCCAACTCTCTACATGCAGTAAAACTGCCAGTTACACCCACATGTTTTTGAATAACAGACACTTGAGTCAAATCAGAACACTTTTTTTTCTCTGCACCTTCCTGAACACACCTCCTCCACAGCACACCCCTGAGGCAGTGCTGAACTCAAACCAAGCTGACCCACTCTGTCACTTGTGCATCACAACCACCTCCAGGAACTCGGGAGCTGCTGGCTCAGCTCTGGTCCCTGACAGTTCTCTCTCTGGCTCAAGCTCTGGGCACACACCTGCATGTGTGTATCCTGAACCAGCAGCCAGTCTTACTGAGTTATTTTTTATGACTACATCCATTTATAATCTACAGATTCAAAGACTTCTTTTGACATTAAGTTTAGTCAAAGTCTACTGCTAAGATCGGTTCCATAAAACATGCTCTGCAGAACAGAACCCTGAAGTCCTCCCATCACCAACTGCTGTGGAGCACAGGGCATTTCATTAGCATAGAGAGACAGGGTGCAGAGGAGGAAATGAGCCAAACCTTTACCTTGGTTCTCTGGAAAACAGCCTTAGGGTCTAGGGTCTTGGTCTTTCCAGGATTGTTCTTATTTGTTTTAATCCAGCAAATGTCCTCACATCTTCTGTAACCCCATTTGCGTAGGCACTAAATATTAACAAACAGATAAAACTGTTCATACTACGCCAAAAATTTAAGTAGCCTAACTGAACACTCACATAGGTACTTGACTTTTCTCAAAGCACAGCTGGAAATTTGTCACAGATGGATGATACAGTTTACTGGCATGACTGTGCTGTGTTTTGTCAAGCTGCCCCTAAAAAATACAGAGGCTTTATGTGCACATGGACTTCTCTACATGTCTTTTTTAATATTAAACACCTGTACAGATTCCACATGGAATTCTGCACTCATTTTTACCTACTGACACTTCAATGCAATCAAAGACAGTCTGAACAATGTAGTGATCAGCTGCCTTGGCCCTGTCTCCACTAATAGCTGCACTGTGGTAGTTTTTCACATCAATGTAAAACTCTTAAGTGGGAAAATTTTATCTGTTAAAAAAACTACCCAAAAAAACTCCACCTAATAAAACCCCACTACAACAACTTAAATGATTATTTTTTTTTAACCTTAACTCCTGTAAGTGTAGTCTTGGAAAGGGAAGAAATGTGTCATAAAAGACTCCAGCTCGTTTGGCTATTGATGGGTTCAAGAACTGTCCAGCTACTACAAACATGTCTATGACCAAACCCAATCTGATCAGCCTCAGAATGGAAAGCAGATGAAGCAAACAGATTAGTTACCACATGTTGTCCTTTAGCATGTTTATGAATTGTTTTCATAGAAAGCACTGCTTGAACTAACAAACGTTTTGGCACAGCAAGAGCCAATTGGGAATTCCTACCCCAGCACCCCCAACCCCAGCAGTGCCACCCTGGCATGCAGATGCAGTTTTATCTCAGTTGATGAAACAGTATCACCTTTCTCCTAGTATGAGTATTTCTGGCAAAAAAATATTGATACTTCTGCTAAAAGAGCTGGAAAAGCACTCAATAGGGTAACCCACTCCTATGGCAACTCACATACATCAGAGACAAGACAGCAGTGGAACTTTCTAGACCCTGTGGAATTATGCTTCCTCACAGAGTCAGTGACTCATCTGGAAAACAACAGTATCTAAACAGTTAATGCCACTTAAAATCACATACCCTCTACCACAGCAACAAAACATCCCTCAGTGGTTACAGCTGAGAACTCTATACATGAAAAAGTCAACGATAAAAATAAACTCTTAAGCCTCTGCCTGATAAATTGAATTAAAACATCATCTTACCACTCGGCCGAGATCCAGGCCCTCTCCTGAGCCACACCACAGGAACACAAATGACCTTGGGGCTGCAATTTCTTCAATTTCCAATTTCATGATCTAAGAATAATAGGAATAATAGAAGTGCCTCTGAATTAAATACAAATCACCAATTATATCAGTAAGAACACTTCAGTCTTGAAGCACTGTCACAGAAACCATCAGGAACACCTTTATTAGACATGTTAGTCTGTACACCACTCACAGCCAAACTTTTAAAACTGTTTTCCAGAAAGCACTTTGTGAAAGTTACCTTGCCAGTACCCAGGAGCACATCTTAAACACAGCTGAGGACCAACTCAATTACTCTTTTTAACAGTGTGCTGGTTTGGTTTGGAAAGGGGCAGTTTTCTTCACAGTGGCAAGTATGGAGCTGGGTTTTGCAAGGAGGAGAGAGCCAGGACAGCTGACCAAGGGGATATTCCATTCCATATAGCATCATGCTCAGTATAGAATATGAAGAGGAGGAAGAGGAGGCATTGGCAGTGATGGTGTTTGTCTTCCCAAGTCACCACTACACGTGATGGGCCCTGCTCTCCTGGAGATGCTGAACACCTCCTGCCTGTGGGAAGCAGTGAATTAATTCCTTGTTTTGCTTCGCTGGCATGTGTAGCTTTTGCTTTCACTATTAAACTGACTTTATCTCATCCTATGAATTTTCTAGCTGTTACCCTTCCAATCCCTCTGGTGGGGGAGTGAGTGAGCAGCTGTGTAGGGCTTGGCTACTGCTGGGGTTAAACCAGAACAACAGAAATTCTATCTATATAGAAAATACTACACTTAAAAGACTCAACACAACCTGCATGATCTCTCCCCTCCCCAAATCTCTGTTTCATTCTATCATTCCAGTGGTAGCAAAAATATTTAATAAGACAGCAACAGTCTTGTTTCTTTTCAGCCCTGGAATTACTTACATGAAGGTTGTGAAGACACATTATAAAGAAACCAGATTAATTCCTATCACTGTATAGGAAAGACATTCTCTGTTTTCACTTTGAGGAAAAGAGAAGCTAGAATTTATAAGGACAGTCGTTCAACAATGACAAATGAGCAACATTCAAGATGAAACAACTTCAGATGCAAAGCATCTGTGAGTCATCACAAGCTGAAAAGATTCATCTGTAACTTGCTAACACATCAAATCAAGCTTCATTCAGTGCCACTGTGAAGAACAAGGATGCAGAAGAAGTCATTCCAAGAGTGTGTAACTCCCGACTATGACTCCTGCATCCAACACTTGCAGTTTTTCTGTTAGGATGGAGAGTGTTTCCCCTGTGCAAATACTGCCAGGCATCACTTGTGCCTGATGTACCAGAATGACTAACACACATGCTACTAATAACTAGTCACCTAGTCTCTTACCACAGGCATGCATGTCTTTGTTTTCAAATTCATTCCTTAAAGGGAGCTTGAATTTTACTTTGCTCTCATGATCCTTTACTTTGACGGATTCCTCCCTCAAGTTATGTCTGTGCAGGTTTCAGCCTAAGGACAAACTAAAGCTAGGGCAACCTGGCAGCAGCCTTTGTGTCACCCAACTGTGGTGCTTGATGGCATCCAGCACTTCACAGCCTCTAGCCCTCTCACTGCTTTTCCAGAGCTGACTCCAGGGAAAAGGCAAAGATGCAGAATGGACTATAATACACCTTTGATCTGACTAAACAGTAAGGAAATATGTAAGTACAAGAAAAACTTCCTCAAGTGAGGTTTAACTTCTTTGTTAGGCTTCTCAGGATTACAGCTGGTTTGACTGTTCTCCTACTGAGTCACTACTTGGAGAATGGAGATATGTCAGTGAAGCATTACACACTTACCTACTCTTGTCACTATAAGAAAAACACATTAAAAAGCAATCCCTAAAAGCCTCTCCAAAAATAGCAAGAAACATGGCAGTATTTTTCAATGGACACTCTGTATTTCAACAGTAAAATCCAAGCAGGAAAGGAAACTCACATAATCTAAGGGCAGGGAGAAACCCCACTGATATTAGATATAAGTCTTCAACCAGATTCAGGGAGAACAAGTAGGTGTATTTAATTCATAGTATTTTTTATCCCGTTTTTCTTTAAAACACATCTCAAGCATTCTTGCTACTAAATTAAATTGTGAAACTATTTGCTTAAATACATGTAGGAAATCTTTCCTACAGCAAGGAAAGGACTTACATCATCCCAGGTCCAGCATTTTTCGTTGGCAGTAATGCCAGTCTCTCTGTAGTATTCTTCCAGAGGTGGCTCCAGGAGAATCACATCAAATTTGGACTTCAGTTCCCTAATATCAAATGCTTCCAAGTCTGCTTGTAAATACCTGTTAAACAGAAGATGACAGACAAGGTATAACAGTGGTCTGAAAATTATACTCCACACAGCACTACTGTGTGGCCAGTTAAGAGTTTCCTGTGTGGTTCACAGAGCTCAAGTGCACTAAATCCAGAGGGGATCCATAACACATCCTCACTTAAGACTACTTAAACAATACAGGACAATAACATCCAGCCTCAGTTTTCTCTTAATAAACAGTTTTTAGGATTTCAATTTAGCTACCAGGAAACATGCCCACTCAGACCCCACAGCAGTATCTAGTACAGAACCACTGAAGTTTCTGTACATCCATGGGCTATATAGGAGAAAACATCAACACTGAAGGAGCAAACACTCAGTGCCTGGCTAACAGACTTCTGGAAAGTGGCACATTTTTACAACTGCCATTTATTATGTGCAAAGATTCTGAATACTGAAATTGTTACTTTGCATGTAGTAAAAATGTATTTCTTTGTCCCTGTAACAGAAGGGAAATTCACACACACGTGGGTTGTACTACTCATATACACACTCAAACACAAAACTGTCCTCCAGACCTGCCCACCACTCACTGCTGTATCCCTACCAGAAAAGTCACACTGCTCTCCCCCAAGTACCTCTAACCATCAGAAAGCTGAGCAGCAGATCACCACCACCCCCTTCCCAAAAAGTGTTTGGAAGAGATTATTATTCCCTAAATGTATTTGGTGTTCTTAGAAGGCAGCACTTGATTTCCCCCTCTTTTGTGCTTTAAGGCTAAGAAAGCCAAAATACACCTAACTTTAAATAGCAAAGTTGAGTTTTGCCGTTTGCATCTCAGCTGTTCAATTATTTCAGTGTTTTTACATGACTATCATTAAATAAAGCTATTTTTCTCAGTACAGATTAGGACTACTGAGTATCACAAGCATTAAGTTGACATTCAGACAGGTTCACGTTCCTGGGAGTAACATGCTGCACACTTAGGCTGTGTTTGATGTTCAGCAGAGACTCAATTTGAAGCCAATAGGCCAAATGACTTCTAGTCAGCCTAAACAATTTAGGTCAACTACAAAGTAACATCTGATTAATGAACACTAAGATAACAGCTGAACACTATCCAAAACCAGCTGGTACAAGGACTAACATTTTATTAAGAGGCAAATTTTTTAAAGCTTTTCTTGTTGTTATAAACTGCACAGTATCACGAAATTCATGATCATATGACATTTAGTTCCCAAACTAAAGCCTGCAACCACATCAATGACAATTTGGTCTTAAAAAAAATAAATCAAAGCTTCAGATACTATAAATAATCACACACTGAAAAGAAAATCTAGTTCATATATTATATTAAACATCTAGATTAAACTAACAAAACCAAACTGATTTTATTCTTCTATGTTTCAAATGATTAATTTGTATATACAAACAGAAATAGAAAATGTAAATTCTAAGCAGGTGCTAAAGAGAAGAGATTTGCAAAGCAGACAGCTAACTTCAAACAGGTCTGGAGAAGAAAGGCATTTTCCACAAGAACACTTACATGGGAGGAGTGTTAGATTTAGATATCAGCTCATCCTTCAACCTGATGAGCTCTCTAAGTTTTGGATATTCTTCAAACCTATCTGCTAAGCCTAAGAAGAAGAAAACATGAAGTTAACAACTACTTAACAGGGTAAATCTGTATCAATTAAGCATTGTCCAGTATTCTGAATAGGTCCAAATGTTAACACTTAGCCTCATTTTAATTTCTGTTAGAACACACCAAACTCTTCAAAGCAGTTTTGTTCAGTGCTTGACAAGAGCCTCCTGCCTTCACTCGTCTAATTATGGCTGTTACTAACATAGAGTCTATGCTCTAATCTAGAGCACCACAGAGAGCAGGAGTTGAGCTCACAAGTCCTGTTACCAGAAAGAGACAATCCTTCATTTACACTAAAAGCACCAGGATGATGAGAGAAACTTATTTTATTACCTATATCCAGTAGTTTATATTAAGATACAATTCACATTCATTTACAGAATATTCTCATTTAACCTCTGAAGACTATTCCTAAGGCAGCACCTGGGGTGTGACTGATTCCCTCATGCAAACCTTTTACTGAGATTTGGTGCTCTGGTATCAGTCCTGAATATCTGAATACATATTCATTCCTACATTTAACTCAATCGTTGTCAATTTTCCACCTTTTCATATGCACAGAGTGCAAAAAGAAAGAACCTTAACTAGGTCTTTTGCAGCAAACTCTTTTAGGAAGGAAAATATACTTTTCAGGATATTAAATTTTCCCTTCCAAAAAAAAAAAGCAGACTGTTTTTGTTGTTGCTAGCAGTAGGCTCAGCACAAACCAACAAGGTGCCATCTCTGCCTCCCAAGCAGTTTCAGTTCAACTTCACTAGGAATTATTTACAAAGCTTCATACCCATTTAAATTTACAACTTTAAATGGCTTTCCACATTGGGGGAAAATACACACCCCAACCCTTAAATGTTAGGTTTTTAAGGAAAAGAATGAAAATAACAGCTGAAAACCACCATCAATTTTCAGTACTGCGATGCTTCCAGCCAGTGTGAGTCAAATACTCCTGCCCAGCACAAACAGAAACCAGAGAGCAGCAGCTAAGAATAGCTGTGAAAGTAATTTCAATCAAAAACCCAAACAAACCAAAACCAAACTCTCTCTCTCTTCCAACATCAAAAAGATACAACTGGGCGTTCTACAACCACTACTTCTTTACAGCTTATTTTTTTTTAGGAGCACATCCAATTACCCAGTAACACCTAAGCAGAGTTTTGATGGCCATGTAGAAAATGTGTGCTAACCAATATGCAACCTGACATAGCTCTAATAAAGGCTCTGGACTAACTGTTGCTGAAATCTTCATTTCCATAACCATTTGTCCTGTCCCTTCCCAACTCCTTATGCAGCAGAGAAGTCACAGTAGATGACATGGGCTGCTCTTCACACTCACTTCAAAGAGCAGTGTGTAACCACCTCAGTTACAGAGCTGTGATGCCCAGGAGCTGTTCAGATAGACTTCACTGAGACAGAACAGCCCATTTTTCACACAGAACATCCAGACGTGTTTCACAAAAGCATTCACAACATATAGAGAAGAAACAGAGTGCTTCAACAGGCAAACAAAACCTCTGGGCTGCCACCTATAAACACAACACTTGCCCTGACAATCTTAAACTTCACAAAATACAGAGAACTGCTTGGTAAACTGCAGAGGGAGGTGTCCTGCTTTGTTTAAAAAACAAATAACCACCAGGTACCTGTTCTGGAATACAGGACCAAAGCATAATTTAGTTTTAGTAAGACTAAGTTCAGGCCTACTGAAGCATGATTGCAAGAATAAGCTCAGTGATGGCTGGATAAATGTGAGCTCAAAAAATAGCATCCTCTAAACTTGGGCCTCCTAATGTGCTGTCAGCAGTGATGTAATTTAGCTGGTAAACATTATCCATATTGCTTACTGACTTAAATCTAAGTTTCTTCCATACTTTACATGCTACATTGCATTCTTAAGAGGCAATACAGCCCAGGAAACAGGTGAACTGCAAGTAAGTTACTCAGACTTCCAAAGGTTTCAAGGTCTGCTCATTAAAATAATCTGTGTTTCAGAATCAAAAGAATTTAGTTTTGAAATAATCTTCCTGGTTAAATACTTTGAGTAAAACCAAGAGTAAGAGCAGCCTTGGTAATTATCACCTTGTAATGATTAAAAATAAAATCATTCATATAAATGTCTATGTATGTGCACACAGAGACAAAACTATGAACTATATGTGTATCTGTGTTTTCAGCAACTGTGAGGAATTAAAGAAGGGGAAGAAAAAGAAATGCTATCAAGTAAAATGAGTTATCTTCACATAGGCAGTGACCGTGACATACCAACATCTCTGATGAAATTCTGGGGTCTGTGTCCTGTATCCACGAAGTGCTGGCAGTAATCATTGTGTGGATTTAAGCTCTGAGTACCCTGGAGAGCAAAAAGGAGTTCAGTGAGAGTGGAAGGGACATAACTGGACATATACACACACACACCCCTCACATGTGTTAGCTCCAAATCAGGCCCACCATAACTACAGCTCAGTGTGAGCTGGCTCAGATCTTTAGTCAGATCAATGTAAACCCCAGTTACAGTCCTATCTTTCCCAGGAAATTTCAATTCTGATCCATTACTTCAACATTTAGAGCTCTATTTCAAATACCATCAACTGCATCAACAGTTTAACACAACTATGCCAGCTGTGACTACACTTCTCATTGCAAACACAACTCACCTTAAGAAAGGTACTGGAATCCTTGTAAATCTCTTCTTCATAGGGCAGGTTCTCTTCATCCTGCTGTAGCTCTACTTCATCCTGGGAAACAAAGCAGATATTACCAGTATGCAGGATCATGCTGTTTCTCTCCTTTCCTCAAGAAGCAGAAGGATAACCTGAAGCGGCTGTCTACAAGCAAAAGAACACATATGACTCCAGCTCCAGTTTTCCCAGAAAGGTCTGCACCTCTCTCACTAATGAAGAGAGTGTTACTGGGAAAGGCCACTGAATGGAGGACACAATAACAACCCCTTCATTTCTAGCCCCTGGGTGCAGCCAGTGCTTTAATTTTTGCCCCCAAAAACTTGGACTAAAACAAATTATGTATTTTGCTTAAGTTCTTCTGCATTAGAACTTCTGAGCACTTACATCCATTCAATCATCTCTCACATTCCAACCTTAGCAGCAAAGTCCACACTTTGCAGCAACAACACAAGGTACAAGTCAGAATTTCATCTGGACTGTTCTTAAAAGCAACTTAAAATTCTCTTTTTATAGCCTCAAGATTTACAGAAAGCAAGAACTGTATTGCAATGTTTTCCACCAGTTGGTGCGTCACCAACAGTTCATTCATCCCATTTTGGAATTGAGAGATTCGTCCCACTGACTTTCTCTGAACATCCAACATAGAACTAAGAACAGAGACAAAAATTGAGATTCACTTCTTCACTTTCTGTTTTCCCTTGTTCCTGAATCAACCTGGTGTACAGATATATAAAATACATAAATAAAGCTAAAGAACTACTAAATAATATCTACCCTACCATTGCTGCTGCATTTACCCTATGCTGCACAAGCTGTCTGAATGCAGAATGAAAAATTAAGTCTTTTCCCTCCCTGTTTTGATCCCTCTAACTGTCAAAACCTTGACATAAGATTTCTATCATTTCCAAACTGGAGCTTTGAAACAACTTCTGAAATGCTTGATGTGATAAATAGTCACAGATTCCCTTCCCCAATATTCAGGTGATCAACTTAGAGATATACAGTCTTTTTGTTTGTTTGTTTAACCAGACCAAAAAGATTACTGTCAGAAACAGCACCAGTGTTTACAAGGATAAAGAATGAACAGCAGACAAGCAGCAGCAAGTGTTATTCGGGTCACAAAAAAACCCGAGTTTTACTAAGAACTGCTTATGCCATCCTAAGTTGCACCTGTTTCCCCTTTCATCTTTCTCTAAATCTTAGCCTTCTGATGATATGCATCTGCTAGATACCTACTTTTGAGTTATCCCAGTTCTCTTCATGCCTTCATAAGTGATTTTAAAAAGTCTTGTGGCCACAAACAAAAAGCCCACACCAACAACTTCCAAAGGGCAAAGGACGCAGACAAAACAGAGACAGAAGGACACTGGCAATAATACCATACACTAGGTTCTTGGGCATTAATCATCCTTGTTTTCCAAATCATCTGGTATACTGTTGCTGAGTTAGGGAAATAAAAACTACCCACAATATTCAAACACAGTTTTTTTCAAACGACTAGAGCCACATTAAGCAATTACCATAATTCAAACAAGATTTTTCCAGCCTCCAAAACAACGGCATGGAAACATCCTAGGCTCACAGGCCACTGCTGGCAGACACAAATTAAACTAGGGCTGTATCAAATTAGGCAGGCAGAGAGCAAAGTAGAACCACAGGTGTTCTTGTACTTCATGCAAAGTTAAAACTCCACAAAACAGACATTCACAGAGGTTCAAACAATTGAGTAAAATCACCCGGGGAAGGCAAGGGGTGGAGCAACAACCACAGCACCCAGGTGGCTGTGAAAAGCCTGGCAGTGCCAGCAGTCTGGTCCATTATCTGTCCCTTCCAAACACAGATCAGGGAGCTCAAATAACCCTGGTACAACTGTTAGTGCCACAAAATCAAGTGTTGCAGGAGTTCTTTAGAATCACAATTCAACCTTCTGACCTTAAAATAGCCATTATTCATTTTTGCCAGTAGTGCCTCTCTTCCCATACCTCCCACCCCATGGTCAGCAATGCAGCCAAGCTCCAAGACAAGTCAAGCTGCCACTGGGGAGTTTAACAAGCAGTCTTGCTGCCCTTGGCTTTCAAATCAGCCTGATACTTATGAAGAACCACCACTAAAAATTCACACTTATTCTACAGAAAAATCAAAACCAGACTCACAAAAAAAACCCCAAGAAACAGAACATGTTGCTGGTTGTGCATCAGATGTTCCTAAATGGCTGAGTAACATACTTGATCTCAAAAAATGCTCTTACGCTTGCCCCATATAATGAAGATGTTAATGTCACTGTTTAGCCTTCCCTCAAATCATAGAATCAACCAGGTTGGAAAAGACCTCCAAGATCACCCAGTCCAACCCTACTGTGGTTACTAGACCATGGCACTAAGTGCCACATCCAGTCTCATCTTGAAAACCTCCAGGGATGGTGAATCCATCACCTCCCTGGGCAGCACATTCCAATGCCTGAGCACTCTCTCTGTAAAAAACTTCTTCCTGATACCTAACCTAAACATCTCCTGGCAGAGCTTGAGTCTGTGCCCTCTTGTCCTAAAGTCAGTGTAAGGCATCTGGGTGTCATCATCTCACTTCACTTCCCATTTGGAACACTAAAACTAACAGAAATACTCCAACATACCCAACTATGCTTGTTTCAAGGTCTGCTGCCAAATCCACACACTCCAGCCCTGCAGACCCTGTGCCACCACACTAACAACCACACTGTACCTTCAGCATAACCCATCTCCACCAGCAATCCCAGCTGGATGCACAGGCTCCAGCTACAGCCCTTGAGGTTTGAGGATACATTCATATCCACCAAATCTGAGGCCAGGACACAAACACTTCAAACCACTTCAGAAGAATCAACTGATCCCATCAAACAGAACCAAACAGTGCAGGTCAGGGATATAGAGATAAGTCACTTTACAGCAGAAATACCTCTACTTTTCCTAACAAAACTGACAAACTTGCAGCATTTGTCCACAACATGACTAGTTAAGTCTATTACTACTTTGGTCTGAGGAGCATTAAACACAATCCAATAGAGCTTGATATCACAAGGAACTAGATTTTTAAATCAGTTCATATTACAAGACTAAATTTAAACAGGCACCAAGTGCTAAGGAAAACATTACATAAATACAGATGGAATTTTACTGTTCTTATGTCCTTACCAACAGGGAATTAGCAATGTCTGCAGAAAACAGCTGATGACTCCACTACAGATGTTCCCCTTGGGGGTTTCAAGTTTCTTAAATCTATTCATCAGCTCACCTGAATTTGGTCTGAGCTAATGTTATGATTCTATTTTTCAACAACAGCAAGAGCCTGGTCATTTGCAGGTGATTATGACCTATCTTCAGGGTAAGTCCTCTCCATGCTAATGAAGATAATCTTAATGATAAGACTCATATACTTTGCCTTTTTTTCTTACCTTATATTCTTCAATCTCTTCCTCATCAGCTTCTCCCTCATCTGGATATTTGCGTTTTGCATTTGGTGCAGAAGTATCATAAGCAGCCCTAGGAACAGCCAAAGAAGTCATCATATACAAGTTTCTCTCTCCAACGAAGACTTTCTGTGACAAGTTTGCAATTACTTTTAAACTTTGTGTATGAAAAGCTGTTCCCAGTATATTTGAGACCAGCACAACTTTTTAAGGACAGAAGTCCTGAAAGAGAGTCATTCCCTTCCCTTTCTCATTTTTCTCTTCCAAAATGTACAGCTCATTTTAATCAAAGCACTAAGTCCACAAAATTAAGCCCACACACACAAGAAAACTACTACTACACGAGATTTAACAAGCACTAGACGTGTGTGTTGTTCCATGAGAACTTCTCAAGTAAACTGCCCTGTAACTGCTCTTAACAAAAGCACAAAGGCTCTGGGACAATGCAGATGGCGCATTTTAGTTCACACTTCAGTCTTCCTGCACAGCAGCTTTTTAACACAGGAAACAAGTCAGACAGGATTTCCAAACTGCTGCTGGAAGGGAACCACTAGACCCTACTCGCCTTAGTCTAAGTTCAGATTTGAGCCATTAAAGCACTATCTTTCACCGACCCATTTTAAGGGCCTGTATTACTCCTAACCCCCCAACTCCGCACAGCCACCGCCCGCCGACACCGACCTGCACGTCTCCCTGGTCTCGGCGATCTCCCGCTGCTCATCCTTGCTGTTGAGCACGGCGCCGATGCTGTCCGCGTTCTCGGCGCCCAGCTGCGGAGCGAGCAGGGCACGTTCACACCGCACACACCGCC